CGGGATGGACGGTGGCATAACAGATTAAAAGAGCTTTAAGCTTGGAATTCAGGGGAGACAGTTGAGAGATGCTCATGTAATCTCCACCTCTGATTCTAATATTGAGCAGGAGAAAATCGAGTAAGAGCAAATACAGCAATGGAGAAAGGAACAGCAGAGGGTAGGAGAATGGACATCAAGAGGAAAGAGTTCCCATACCAATGATGCTAACACTCAAGTAGTAGGTGATACTGGCAGTAGCATGACTGTACCTAATCGCGTGAGGAACCCTGGCAAAGACGAGCGGAAAAAAATAAAGTGTCTATACACCAATGCAAGAAGCTATGGGAACGTAATGGAGGAACTAGATCTACTGGTGCAGGAAGTGAAACTAGATGTTACAGGGATAACAGAAACATGGTGGAATAGTAGCCACGACTGGAGTACAGACATTGAAGAGTATGTGCTGTTCAGGAAAGACAGAAATGAAGGGAAGGTGGTGCAGTAGCATTGTGTATTAATGATGAGGTAGACTGACTGTAAAGAAATTAGAAGTGCTAGAAAGGATAAAGCAGAGTGTGTTTGGGTCAAAATCACTTTGCGGAAGAAGGCTACCAGGTCTGCAACTAGGGGCCTTGATTTCAAAATGGGACAATTTAAAATATTAAGGCAATTAACTAGGGGAATGGACTGGGATGAAGAACTCAAGAATTTGAAAGTGGGGGAGGCTTGGAATTACTTTAAGTCAAAGATGCAGAAGCTCTCTGAAGCCTGCATCCCAAGCAAGGGGAAAAACTTCCTAGGGAAGGGTTGTGGACCAGGCTGGATGAACAAGCGTCTCGCACTGGTGATTAAGAGAAAGCAGAAATCCTACTGAGAATGGAAGATGGGAGGGATCAGCAAGGAAAGCTACCTCTTGGAGATCAGAAAGTGCAGGGAAAAGTGAGAACTGCCCAGAGCCAAGCAGAGCTGGACCTTGCAAAGGGAATTAAAACCAACAGTAAACGGTTCTATAGCCATATACACAAAAAGGGACTGCCCAACACGGAGGATGTGTTGGAGAGTGAAGATAATCTAGGCCTGGGCAAATGACTAAGCAAATACTTTGTCTCCGTTTTTAATAAATGGAATGAGGAGTTTAGGGGTAGTGGCAGGCTGGCTAATGGGAACGAGGCTATGGAAGTAGAAATTACATCTGAGGTGGAAGTCAAACTCAAAAGAGCTTAATAGGACCAAACTGGGGGGCCTGGATAATCTCCATCCAAGAATATTAAAGGAACTGGCACATGAAATTTTCCATAAATTCAGGGGTCAGACCCGGTGACTGGAGAATTGCTAATGGAGTTCCCATTTTTTAGAAACAGGAAAGAAGTGATCCAGGAAACTACAGACCTTTTAGTTTGACCTCAATTGTATGCTAGGTCTTCGAACAAATTTAGAAGGAGAAAGTAGTTAGGGGCATAGAGGTTAATAGTAAATGGGATAAAATACAATATGGTTTTACAAAAGGTAGATCATGCCAGACCAACCTTCTCTTTCTTTGAGAAGATAACTGATGTTTTAGAGAAAGGAAATGCAGTATATCTCATCTATCAGGATTTCAGGGCTTTTGATTCAGTTCTACATGGGAAATTATGACTCAAATTGGAGAAGATGGGGATTAATGTTGCTGTTAATCCCTACATGCATGAATTTGCACTTTGCACGACTGAATTTCATCCCATTTCTATTACTCCAGGTTTCAAGGTCGTCCAGCTCTACTTGTATGATATTCTGGTCCTCCTCCACGCTGGCAATAGCTCCCAACTCTGTGTCACCTGCAGATTTCATTAGCGCACTCCCCCTTTTTGTGCCACGGTCTTTAATGAGAACGTTAAATAAGATTTGTCCCAAGCCCAATCCCTGAGGAACTCCACTAGTAACCTCCCTCCACCCTGACAGTTCACCTTTGAGCATGACCCGTTGTAGTCTCCCATTTAACCGGGTCCAGATCCACCTTTCAATGGGGATCGGGAAGCAATTTTCCCCCAAATCAGATTGGCAGAGACCCTGAGGTTTATTTCCTCTGCAGCCTGGGGCACGGGTCACTTGCAGGTTTGAACTAGTGTAAATGGTGGATTCTCTGTAACTTGAAGTCTTTCAATCAGTAACTCAGCCAGAGGTTATGGGCCTGTTACAGGAGTGGGTGGGTGAGGTTCTGTGGCCTGCAGGAGGTCAGATTATGATCATGATGGGCCCTTCTGGCTGTAAGGTCTATGAGACCTGTCTCTGCCTCAGTTCCCCACCTGTAAAACGGGGAGAGGAGACTTCCCTACTTCACAGGGGTGTCGTGCGACATTAAATATCTTATTAAAGCCTGTGAGGTGCTCAGATACTGCAGTGAAAGGAGCCAGAGGCGTACGACGGATCGCGGGAAAGGTTCTGCAGACAGCACTTAGATCACAAGTCTGTTGATGATGCACAAGCTGGAAGAGAAGCTGCTCCCTGGAGCATCGCTGGGTTGGCCCTGCAGCGCTAAGGGGAGTGAAGGCTGATTTTTAGGGACAGATGCTCTGCAGGTGTCAATTGAAGTAGCTCCTCTGAAGTCAGATTGACACCATCTGAGCAGCTGGCCAGTAGTCCTGCTAGCCCAGATCCTCAGAGGCATTTGGGCTCCTGGTTTCCATTGGAATCACTGGGAGTTTGGGGCCTGAACACCTCTAAGGGTCTGGGGCTACAGTTAGGAGACAGGCCCCTGAGACACACCAGGAGCGGAGCTGTCAGGATTGTTAATAAGCACTTGGATGGCCACAGGGCTCAGAAGCTGCACCCAGGTCCTGCTTTGCATCGCGCTAGGGCCTGTACAAACACACAGGAAAATGAGGTCATAGAATCCCAGAACCATCGGGTGAGAAGGGACCGCAGGGGCATCTAGTCTAACCCCTGCCAAGATGCAGGATATGTTGTGTCTGACCCATCCCAGACAGACGGCTCCAGCCTCCTTTTGAAATCTCCAGTGAAGGAGCTTCCACAACCCCCCGAGGTGTCTGTTCCATTGTCCTGCTGGTCTGATAGCGAGGAAGCTTTCCCTCAGATTTAATCCCAATCTGCTCTGCTGGAGTTTGTAGCTCCCTGCTCCAAAGAGCTGACGCCCTACGTTAACACGGTGTAACATACACCAGGAGAGAGCCCCGAACCGGGCCTTGGCTTTGCCTGTGTCCCTCCTCGGGAGGGGAACTGTCAAAGATTAAAATGAAAGAAGTCATAGAGAACAGGCTCGCACTCGGAGCATATTCCTTCTCCGGGCCTGGCTGGTCTCCAGCCGCAGTTCAGTTCGGTCCCTGACCTGCAGACATGTGATTTCTAGATCTCCGGGCACAGAGCAAGCTGCAAGGGGTTGAAGAAGCGGTGCAGAAGCTCCAAGTCTCTCTGCCCCCTGACAACGCCACGGGTCCATCATCAAAAGGCTCCCTCTGTAAGGCCCACGGCGATGGTC